AAAAATTTTACTTATCTCAATATAATATTAAACATTTTAGCTCCATATGATTTATGAAAAATAAACCTCAAGATTTTATTAAATCTCGGCCCGGAATTTATTCGGCAACAAAACATTCCACAGTTTCGCGGTCCTAATTAAACAATGATCACATTTACCAATATGGATTCACATAATTATCCTCTGCGTCTATAATAATAAACGATTTAAAAGTATACAAATCCTACAACTGCGGAGTTCACTAACTGTTAGTATACATAGTAAAATAAATTATGGATCTAGGAAAAAATTGTTTATGCCCTGCGCCGAAGAAGAAACCATAGCCTAAATCGGATAAAGGAAAAAAACCTACTTCCTGAAAATTCAAACAAGACCATTGTTGGAGGTTTTCTTAAGGAGTTAATTAATATTGCACAATACAAACACAGTCACACAAAATGTGTACACATATTAATCTAGTCATCCGACTAGTTATAATGCTCCACGCAGCCAGTTCACAACAAATGGCATATCCACCAGCACTCACAATCATAACTCTTCATATAATCACATTCAAAGTGGAAAATTAGTCAGTGGCCGGCCAACCTGAAACCCCATACGAGAGCGTCCTCACACATGGCTCGCCCTCTCATTACATGTGCACCAGGGAGCCGATTCCCCCATTACGGCCAACTGGTTTAATCCTCACTTGACCAGGTCCTTCTCATTGTATTTCCATTCTCTCTTTTCCTTTTCTTCCATTACCAACAGGAGGCAAACCCGTGTTTGGCTCTCCATCCAATCTAGATCATCAAGTGCTCACAACAGAGGAGGCCCACCTGCGGGCTTACCAATCAAATCAAGATTATCAGTCGTGCGCAACAACCAAGAAAGCCCATCCTGTGGTTTTCCACATAATCCATATCATCAGGTGACACGGGGCGGCCGATCTCCCATCTTTCCTCGGCCGACGTCAAATTATCATATAGAAATATCGACCATATCCACAAACCGTCCTCACAAAACCCACGGTGTCCACTTTCATCCCAAATTCCACACCAAACAAAGCATTTAGCATTATCCACAAACACAATAATTCAAAACATTGCAATTTCAAAATGCAGACATATTAATTCAATTAAAACATTCGTAATGCAATGCCACAATTAAAAAACATCCAAAATCAATGCAAATAAATTAAATTAATAGCTATTAACAATAATCAAACAATTAATAAAATAACATAACAATATTAACAATAATAATGAAAAATAAATAAATAAAATATTGCAAATTAATTAAATGAATAATAAAATAGTAAATAATCAAGCACTAATTTATTATATTTACCAAATTTAAGAACTAATTCTAAATAACTTATTAATTATGTTGTTAAATAAAAATTAGTCTAATTTTTATCAAAATTTCGGCCAGCACCTCCCCTAAAAATTGAAACTATTCTACCTGCTCCAACATAATTCACAATATCATTTATACTTTATCATCAATTGCACACAACCCATTCCGTCGGGCAATCAATTCCAAATTTAAAATCCCATCCTCCTTCCATAACAACAATATCAACACTCAACCAAAAATTTACAAACTAATTCTTAATAATATCCATATAAGATTCATTTAATTAAGTCATTAATTAATTAAATTATTAGCTATTACGTAACTTAATTTGTTTTAAAACAGCTAAAACATATTTTTAACCACAAACTAATTATAAAACTACTACCTATTCAAATTCGATTTTATATCAATACGAAAAAATGCTAGGCCTCCCAAAATCTTAATTTATCCAAATTTCGATTCTAACCGTTAACCAACTAAAATTCGCCTTACTTCTCTTATGCAACAATCGGCTAGTTTTAAACTTAATGGTTATCTAGTCAACTAAAATATAACTAATTCTAATTTTTATTCTTTCTCCTAAATCATCCTAATCATAATAATAATCATTGTAATTTATTTTGACAATTTCTAAACTAATTTACAATTACATCTATTCTAAAAGTCCTAAAAACCAGTTAACAAATTTCATGTTCGCTATCCAAATACGCACACTAATCAAATCTAATTTATTTAACAAAAAGACTATAAAGTTCATATATTTTTAAGTTAATCCAAATAAGTTAATTTCTTGTTATATCAATTTAGTCTATTTAATAACTCAATTAAATTCATTAATCAATTTAATTCTACATATATAAAAATTGAGAATTTGGAGTCTTAGACCGTAACCCATGGAATCGGGCGACGATTCCACATGATCAGCGCGAAGAGAAGAGAGATTCTGCTCTCGGTGGCCTCACACCGGAGTGCCGCCGGTCCGGTCACCGGACCGCCACCCCGACCGCCGTGCAACGGTGGTCGCGAAAATCGAACTTGCCTGAAACTGACACTCTTTACAAACCATTAGACTCTTTTTTCTAGCCAGAAGTCCGATCTCCAGCGTCGCTGTTGAAGCGAGATCAGTTCCTCTCTTGGTTGAAACGGGCTCGCCAGGGCATAGAGTCGCCACCAACGTGCTGCCAATCCATGGAAGAGAGTCGCACCTCGCCTGGAATCGCCAAGCCGGACTGAGGAAGGAGGAGTGAGATCAAGCGTGGTTCTGGTGGTGCGACGGAAAACTCGAGGCGCTGGAAGTTTATGGCGCCTGCCTGTCGTTGAATCGAAGGAAGAGGGAGGAGGGGGCTGTTGCGATTCGCCAGCTTTCCGAGCGACAGCCTTTCGCAAGTTAGGATTTGGAACGGAGAGGCGCTGTTTGACAAGACCGGACTCTGCAGCGGCGAAGGAGACATCGGCGAGAAGCTCAGTTGGCTGGATCCGGAAGGGAAGGGGAGGAGTCGCGGCGCCTGGAGAAGAAGAAGGGGAAAGAAAAAGAAGGAAAAAGAAAAATTCTAGGACATTCGGTTTGGATTCGGATCGGTTCGGTCCGATTTAGTGATTTGGTCTCATTTGTTTGGTTTGCAGGTTTTTTTTTTATTTATTTATTTATTTGTTTTTTTCCAAGCTGTTTGTGGGTTTTCGAAAGGGTCAATTTGGTTTTAAAGTCCAGTTCGATTTATTTTAATTATTTTAAGTTTGGTTCCATAAATATTTCTCCATTTACTTCAATATTTAATAAATAAAAATATTAATAGTAAACAATATTTGGTTTTAAGATAAATTAATTCATACATATTCATAATTAAGTTAAATTAAGGGGTTTCGATATTATTTCTTCCAAAAAATTTTAAAATCATTCTCAATCGACAATTCCGATGATGTATTTGGGCTTAGGCCAACCACAAACTTGGCTCGAATTGAGGATTGTATTCGATATTATATATAGCCCAAATAGTTGAAAGTCGAATATTTTTTTGATTTATTAAAAAATTTCGACAAAGTTTTCGAAAATAAAAAATTCGGGCGTGTTTCAAGCTAGATTTGTAAAAAATTTAGTTGGAACGGGTGCCCCCTACACCCCTATGGTGGATCTTGGTGTCTGTCATTGTAGATTCACAGTTGAAAGTCATAACCTTATAATTTTTGAAAGCAATTTTTTTTTCTGAAAAATTTGTATACTGTTGAACCAGAATTTACCTTTCAGCTAAACTTTGGAATATAAATTAAATATAAAATATATATTGATATTAAAGTAAGGCCCGTAAGATATGTGGGGCTTAAATTTTCACGAAGCCTGATACGAATTGGGGCTTAAATTGCACCCAACAAGAATCCAGGCCACCCGACCTGCCCTAAAACCCTTACCCATCCTAAAAACCCCTCAATGCACTTTCAAAACAGGGTCGAACGCAAAACAGTGAAAACGCTAGCTCCCTCGCGGTCTTGATCACATAAACACCACCATCTTCCTCCTTTATACTCCGCCGGAAATGG